ATATTTATATATCTATTTTTATATATTTGCATCTATTTATAGATAAAAATAATATCAATACAAATAAATTTATGTTAATTCATAACATACATAAATTTTAATATAATAGTTCAATGTAGTAAATACTTCATTAATATTTCATTTATTAATTTTGTCTACACGTCGCATTTTAATAAAATTTTTACAAGATAAAAAAGAATTTGTATACATTTTATCTTTCAATTAATAATTTAGTTATTCCTTTTTATATATATATACATATATAAATTTATATGTATAGATATATCTCTTTATCTCCTTCCTTTTATTCTTCTTCTTCTTTAGAGTTTTGCTATTATTACAACTAATTTTGAAGTTGTTGATACTTCTGTTGCATAGGCTGTCAAAATTTTTCCAAACATGATATTTTTAACCAATTAAAAAATACTGCCTATTTTCGTCTTGTTAGATATGAAGCTGTTTCGTGACATCTTTTAATATACGGATCTTTGTAAATTCTACTTAAACGCCATCTATCGATCAGTTACTTTTTAATGGTAGATCTGCTGGGACAACTTAGGCCTAGTAGGTAGAAACTTTGCTCTAGACAAAGCAGACCTTTACCGACCTTAATTTCAACCTAATTCCGAGAGAAGCTTTAGAGTTTCTTCCGTAAAGAACATTTATCAAATTAGCTAACTGCCACATATTCGTGGCAAATACTTTCTATGCAAGGACGTTCCTTTCTCCCTGCCTCATTATTTATTTACCAGACCGAATAACGTCGTCCGAATAGGCCGAAACAAAATAGAGTATAATTAAGTTTTATTGACAACTTTCCCCCCAAACGATTCGAATGGCACGCTTACACGTAAGCTAATAGCTTTTGTATATACAAAAACTGCAAAATTATAGGACTAGTGAAAAGTAGAAATTAATAGTGCTTTCCTTGTGCGTGGCGCGCAATTATTTAGCATACTGAACTAGAGTCCTCACTCTAAACCAAGCTGTTTTGGGAAAGAGTGTTAAGAGAGAGAGAGAGAGGGAGGGAGAGAGAGAGAGAGAGAGAGGGAGAGAGAGAGAGAGAGAGAGGGAGAGGGAGAGGGGAGTGAGAGAGGGAAAGGGGGAGGAAGAGAAAAGAGGAAAGAAAAAGAACTAACCGGCATTAAAGAAAAATGTCGGAATAAAGAGATTCTGCAAACAGTATACAATGTTTATAAATATAAACTATACAAAGTGTATTTAAGGAAAGAAGAATGGATGAAAAAAAAAAGAGGAGAAAAATATAAAAGAAGAAAACGAGAGAATAAGAGGTAGATATTTACAGAAACTGGGCAAAAGAGAAAGAGAAAAAAAGAGACTGAGTGTAAAAGAAATCGAAAGTAATGAAAAGTATGCATCGTACTTTTCCTTTCAAACGGGACAGGCTTATTGATAAAAAAATTTTCACCCTTAAGAAAAGCAGTGATTTTGCTGTCACGTTTCCTTCTTTACGAGCTCTAGATTAATCGCTTCGGCCTCCACTGCAAAAAAGCAACAGTTCGATAGCGCACCTTTCAATGTGAATTGCATGTCAAGTCAGCTAAAAATAGTTGCATTAATTTCAACCTGAAAAGGACCGTGACTAACCAGACATGAAATTCGCGTGTACCTTCCTACTTTTTACATTAATCACACTTCTGTTGCTGTTGTTATATTGCAGAAGAGGCTAAGAAAAAAGGCAAGCGCCTGTTGACACACCGATCAATTTAACATTGAACAAGTGTATATTAGGAGAAATCAATTAGTGCTATAGGTAAAAAAATAACTGTATATCCTATACCGGAGGCGTCACCCCTTCTAGGCCTTCAAACGGGTTATTTCATATAGATGAAAGCCTACGTATTCAGGTTACGGAGCATAAAAAACAACAAGGAAAAGCAGCAATCGGGGAAAGAGTGCAAATAAAAGTCAGTAAACAATACGAAGTGGTGCGGCGATATATTGCAGATGATTTGCAGGTGAATCTGGAACATTTTTCTTTTGTTTTTCACTTGATTCATTTAATCAACTTTAGTTGATTAATCGTGGTCTCGTCTTTATAGCCATTCGTAAATGGGAAAAGAGACTACCGCCTTTTTTTTTCCTCTTTGAAAAAAATTATTACGTCAATAAGCACTTTAGAAGTAAAAATCTTTTGGCAATACCCAATTATCAATCCCCTTTCAAGAGAACAATAGCTTTAAACTAAAGGATTTGCTGATTAGCAGTCATCAGATTATCACAGGATTCCCGTATTGACTAATCATCCTTTGGCGTTTGTATCTGTAAGATTATACCCCTTAAAAGTATATGATATGTATATATATGCAATTTTTTTTAAACATTATACCATCTATAGATGACTTGTCTTATTCGTTTTACATAATAAATCAAAATTTTAAAATATCCACCCTATTGTCAATTGATATTCATAAATATTACTGTAATTTCAGTGTATACGTCTGATGCAAAAGAAATAATACAACCTAAAACTATATATAGGATATACTCTCCGTATATATATCCTAGTTTGGAATAAGTTATATTTATACAAGTATATCTGTATACAGTATACAAATAAAGTATGTGTGATATAAGTAGAGAAAATAAGCGACTTTCTGATTAAATAGCACCACCGCGTTCGATCGGTCCCTTTCCAAAGCTTGACGGATTTACCGTTTCTATTGTTATTAGTTTGTGACGCGTTAGAAATTGGCAATGATGAGCCGCCAGATGACGCGCTTGTGTATTCATATCTTTGCTATCCTAGTGTAATCTTGAGACTATATACTAAAAATTTATTATCATATAATTGATTATGCTGAATGAAGTATGAAAGGTGGGATTGTAGGGAAAATAGGAGGGTAAGGGATCTTTGCTTTTTCTTTTATTATTTAGAACACGTTTCTGTTAGGCTTTAGTGTGTTATTGAATTTCTTATTAGTCGTGACGTCTGTTCCTTTACTCGAGTAATACAGTCTCAAGTCTTGAAATTTTATGACTGTATGGAATATTTTAGCAGGAAATCTGTTGCATGTTAGGAAATGAAAAAAACTTCTAGTATAGCCATTACTTTAGTGTCACAATATTTCCGGATTGACAACGAACCCAACGCTAATGACCCAGTTATTCTGCTCCTTATCTTCTTTTTATTTATAGGGTCTTGCGTTTCCCAACCTCCTCGTTTTTTCAATCTTCCTATTCTTAAATAAATTCTCACTTTTTTTTTTCATTTCCATACACTCTTTAATTATACTCTGCAGATAGGTGGCGCCCCGATAATAGATCTCTCTCTATCTCTCCGTTTAGAAATTTATTTGTTGTATGGAACGTTATGAATTAGTTGATTATAACAATTTACGAAATTGCGTATATTTCGAGCTTTAATACTTTCTATATAGATTTTAATAAGAATTCTTAGCTCTAAAAGAGATCTAGGTAGAGAGACAGATATTAAGTGAGGGGGAGAGAGGAATAGACGATTGATGATGAGTTATGATATAAACAGGAAAGGATAGGTGGAAAGGAGAGAATATTCATCAAACAATATTAATATATTACCTGTGGAAAATAAATTTATTTTTGTGTTCTTTTATTCTTATTCTTGGTTTAGACGAGATTTCCCCCCCCCCTCTCTCTCTCTCTCTCACTCTCTTTCTCTCTGTCTGTCTATCTCTCTGTTTCTCCTCGTGTATAATATTTTTACTCTCTTTCTCTATGGGTCGTTTAATATTCTCGTCACATTCCTTTTACTATAATCTATTAAAAAAAAAACCTCAGCGTTTATTCTATACATATATTTAAATTTATTATACATGATTTATGTTACTTTAGTGGTTTTTTCTGTAAATGTATGCTTAGTTTTCTAAAAGGAAGGAGAGGAATATCAGCGTCCGTCTGAATGTATACAACTCACAAGAGTTTTAGCAGTAAGAAAAGCGTCTATTCTAATAGTAAGAACTTGGCATAAATAGAATTTAAAAAGAATAATCTTCGATATTATTCTTTTTATGTGATAAAATACTATTTTATAATTAATCGTTAGTTATTAATTACAGAAAAACTTAAATAAAGTTTCAATTAATAAAACCAATATTAATTATTATTTGATTTGTTTCTATTCTCCTTCTCTCTTTATCTTTCTATTTCCCTGTTTTTGTTTTTCTTACTTTAATACCAACCAACTTCCGGTTGAAGTAAAGATGATTATCTGAAAGTTCTTGTTGTTTTCTTTTATGTAAAAGTACTTTTCATTTTCATAGCAACATAGATTTTCTTCATTATTAGACAATGATTAAATACTTGTTTAATTTACGGAAAGAGTTTACGTAGATTACTCTTGTTTCCTTTTTAGCCTTATAACGCTTTCCGTAAGCGTTTTTATTAACATTCTTTAGCTGTCTTCTCAGTTACCATCTTCCCATCTTATAGTTGTCTTTTAAGAATTACAGTAAGGATGTAAACCGATTTCTATCTCGCTGCGTTAAAAGTTTCTAAATCCATCTTAATGATTGTTCTTGTTGTTTTTTTTTATTGCTCATAAATACTGCAAACACCTCGATTAACAAATAGATAAAATTCTATTTAAAATTCAAGACAACCAGAAAGCAGTAGATGCTCTTTCAATCTTTTGTTTTACTCATCCTTCTCCTTCCTTTAATCGCTATAAAGGCAATTAGATGAGAAAATTGGTAAATTACGCGAAGGTTTTAGCTATCTTTTAGAGAGAAAAAATATTCTATTTTCGCTTCTATTTTAATAATTAGGCCTATGAAGTATTAACTCGTACAGCTTCTTCTTTTCTCACCATATTTGATTTTAAAGCAAAAATAGGGAAAGGGTACTAAACAAATATGATTTTACTTAGATATTTTCATAGAATCCTCTTATAATTAGATCTAATAATGGACCTTACAGCATAAAAAAAAAGTGATTTTATCATAACCAATAGGCCTAATATCGCCAAGGATCTTGTTTATCTATTGGCGCTTAGCAGCCGTACACACGATCGATAATAATCACCAACAAGCTTTGTCGTACGTTTTGGATTTTGGTCTCCTTTAAATGGATAAAATAAGAGATTCTGGACTGTCCTTGTAATAATAGAAAGGTGGAAAACAATAATAGAAAGATATTGTTAATCGGAAACCGGTAACTAATAGCGAGGGATATGAATTCAAATAATACTGCCACGGGATATACTCCTAGACCGTTCAGTAGATGCGGTAGTGAAGCGGCCTACGAAAATATGAATAGAAATAGGGGAACAATGGGCTTAATCATGGATTCTGAATGTAATAAAAACTACTCGGACCCTGAAGCCCCTAAACCCAGGATATTATCGGATGCAGCTCAGGAATATGCAACTAGAAACAAGGGAAGTGTTAACTTGTCACTAGACTCTGCTAGAAGCTATGTTGAAGAACCAAAATTGACAACAAGAGTACGGCCGGAAGGAAGCGAATACGCTCTGAAAAACGTCAAAGGGAGCATTGACGGTATCTTTAAAGCAAAGGATCCTTATACAACACCAAGATTAGCTTCTCGTACATCCGGTGATGGTAGAAATATTGCTGAAAAGTCCCAAGGTCAAATGAATCTAGTTCTTGATCAATCTGCAAACAGAAAATTTAGAAACGATTTTCCTGCCGCCCGAGTTAAACCTGAAGCAAGTGGAAATGCAGCCAAGAATGCTGGTGTAATGCATCTTTGCCTTGATGAGACGAAAAAATACTCGTATGATTATGCTCAACCGAGGGTAAAACCTGAGGCGAGTGAAATAGCCTCGAAGAGCCGTGGCTCTATGGATCAAGTCTTTTCTTCTAGACCATGTCCAGTAGAAACAAAGCCACCCAGGGTACGACCAGAAGCAACAGAATATGCTCAAAAAAATGCCGGATCCACTAAAGAATTATTTGAGAGTTACGGGAAATTGTCGGATGATAAGGGCACAAGAAATGCCAGAGTCAGAGGAGAAGGGCAAGACATCGCAAAAAGTGGAAATAAGGGAACATTACACATTCTAATAGAGAAACATGGACAGTTACCTGGTGATTCAAAGCCTCCAAGAAGACTGAAAGGTAGTGGTTCAAGATATGCAAACAGAAGTAAGGGGCAAGGTATGAATGTAATGTTACACGGTGAAAAAAAGACATACAAGCATCGATCTGTTAACGTTTAAGTGCTGTCTCTAAAGCTTCATAACGTTTACATCATATTGTCATTATTATTATTATATATTATGTTTCTTCTTATTAAAGGGATGATTGAGTTTTTAGTAATGCAAGTATACTCTATATACTGTATATATATATATATATATATATATATATATATAAATATGGCTAAACATAGCGAATAAGCAACAGATGAAATATTATAATCTTCAGTTTACAAATATCTTCAAACACTTATATATAGGTATTTTTTTCTTTCCAATAAACGAATAATCATCTTGAAACAGAGGGCGCTAATAACATTTAATTCACTTTTTAAGACTCTTAACAGAAATTCTTATTTTGTCTATTAACACTCGTCATGTTAATTATAAAAAAAAAGAGAATAAAAACAGAGTGAATTGCACGAAGGAAGAGCGTCACGTGGTAAAGAATTACCATGCACAAATTACTCCGGTTATATGCGACGACCAATTAGAGTCATTTCGACTTGGCTAAATTAATCCAATGCTCGGGGAACTTGCAGCTTCCTGCAGCAAATCCCTAGCGCATTCCTATTCAATTTACATAATTTATTCCAATTAAGTATCTAACGATGCTCATTTAAAGCGCATATTTCAGTTTCTGTTAATAGAATTAAAAAATAAGAGAAATTTATTGAAGTAAATAAAGACATAAAGGTTACAGGACAGAATGTCTTGAATAAACTATTTACTTCTTCAATAACATTTTACTGGTACAACCTGAAAACTAAATATACGAAAGAAATATGTTGCCTTTTTCTTTTCCATATCCTAGCTAATCTTTCCTACTTTCGCTGATATTGGTAATCTCTCTCTCTCTCTCTCTCTCTCTCTCTCTCTCTCTCTCTCTTCTTCCTTAGTTTCTTGGCCTCTTCTACTTCTTACAAGCCAAATGAAAATTATGAAATCCAACACTAGAATAAAAGAAGCAGCTAGAAGATACATGACACTAAAAGCAGCTTCGAGGTGAAATTAATTTCTGTGTATGCGAAAAATTAAGGAGTCGTAGTGGAAAGGGGCGGAAAGATGAAATATTAAAAACATTACTAAGACAATGATAAACATTTCCCTCTAAATAGAGTCAAAATAGGGTAGAAGAGAACACGTGACTACCCGCAACGAATAAGATTCTGGAGAAAAGGCGCTAAAATATGCATTTACCATCAACTATTCTTGGTAGGCGTTCGTATGGCGACGTTGTTAGAAAATACTACGAACGGATCCCATTTAGATTTAATAGGTACAACATTCGATGATGATAATCTGGTTGCTGTTATTGGCTTCTCAATAATTTTCTTCGTATCTGCAGTATCCAATTTAACTGTCTTCATAACTTTGTTCAGAAACAGACATAGGAAATCACGCGTCAATCTTTTTATAATGCATCTTGCTATTGCTGATCTTATGGTAACTTTTATTAGCATACCTTTAGAAATTTTCTGGGCAATTACTGTTTCATGGAAGTCTGGTGATATTGGATGTAGGTTCTTTATGTTTTGGAGAAGCTTGGGAATCTATCTCTCATCGTTCATACTTGTATGCATTTCAATGGACAGGTAAGAATACGATGTAATTATCCTAGATGAGTAGCTTAAGTAAACATTTCGGGTAACGTAAGTAACTAAAAGCTGGTATAGTAATATACAAATACAAGGACTAAAATTTCCCTCTTACTGTCGTTTTAGCACTTAATTAGAGCGCCTAACTCTATACCTTATATCTACCCTTTCAGATATTTTGCAATCTTGCATCCTCTCAGTTTAAACGACGCTGATAAAAGGGGTAAAATTATGCTTACCCTTGCTTGGATCTTCTCTATAACTGCTAGCATTCCACAGGTAGGTCGAACAAGGACAAATTAAGACGAGAGAGAGGCAGAGAGAAATATTCTCTTCACATTCTATTGCATATTATATATATACTAATATATTATATATTATGCAGTATATGAAAGTTTCTGTATGAGAAGAGAAAGAGAGGATAGACTGAATGATTTTTATAAAAACGTATTATTACGAATGTTATCTGTATGGGTAGGCCTTTTTTACATATAGACTTCAATAACAATAAGTTGCATGACTGTAGCTACTCTGTAAGGGAAGCTCGGCGTAAAAACATAACTAGATTACTTAATGGGTTTAAGGAGAATGTTAACAATAGGCCATTATAAAAATATTTATTTTAGTCTGATATCGAAGTATTCTAGGTGGTAAGGATGGCTAAAGGAGGTGAGATTAACTAAGATGTGCAATGAAATAGTTAGCGTTTATGAAATGAAAAACAAATGAATTACTTGAAGGATTTCGCTCCGAATACATTTCTTTTCATCAGCTCTTCTTTTTATATTATTAAGACTATTAAGCATAAGTAAATTCCGCTTTCCTTTTGTTTTTCCCTTTACATTCATTATCAGACTCAGTTTTCTATGTATATAGTATATATAAATATATACATATACAAACATGTAACATACAAAATTATATATAGGTACATGCTAGGCACGTTTTCAGTATACACAATCTCTGTCTCCATCTCTCCCTTTCTCTGTCTCTCTCTCTTTTATTCACTCCCCTTGTTTAAAGACACAATAAAAAACAAAATGATTGAAAGATAAATATACTCTATAATACTCTATACGCGTGGACAAAGAACCTCATTAGTCGAGAGTATTGTTGTTGAAAATTAAATTGTCATGATTCCTTTGTTTAAATTGCAAAATGCTATGTGTGAAAATTCCTATTTTGATAACATAAAACTGTATATTGGTTTAGCTAATAACCTTTAGGAAATAGGTTTAAAACAGCTAAAGATACAAATGGATTACGGCAGAAGTTTAAGAATATAATTGCAAACAAAAGGAAATTCTTAGAGTAAACTATTCAAGGTAGGGACGCCGAAAAAAGCCAATTGCTTTTTCCGATTTCCTGCCCTAAGGTCAACCGGAAAGTCGAAGGAAAGGGAATGCATTCTTATAACAAGACCTCCCTCTTAATTAGGGCAGAGACTAGCTTGAAAAGTAAATATATTTGAAAATGTAACGCCGGTATAGCGTTTGTCACGCACTAATAAATAAGATGGGTTAAATAGGTTAAACGAATATTCTCTTTTTTCACCTTTATAACTCTCATTTTTTATATAGAGCGTCATCTTCCACATCGAAGAGCATCCACGTCTTAAAGGCTTCGAGCAGTGCGTAACCTTCAATTTTTACCCAACAATGGCTCATGAAATGGCCTACAATGTTTTCAACATTTGTACAGTATACATTGTTCCATTATTAGTGATTATAGGAACTTATACACTTATCCTACTGGAAATATCGAAGAAGAGTAGAGAAAGCAGAGGTAATTTTTCTTGATTTACGCAAGAATGCCCCATCGCTTAATTGCGTTTTGTGAATGACACGCTAACGTCAAAGTTTTTTTCTTTTCTCCAATTAACATCATAAGTTATTAGCTTCAGGCTAAATGTGATTTTCCTTATAATAGCTATTGTTGCCGACAACTTTCGCCTATTTTTTCCTCTTTTATTTCTTTTCAACATGTGTATGATGCGCATAATAAATTGCTGTATTACCAGTTATAATACCCCAAGCTTTTCTTTTTACATTAGTACTTATAAACCGACATTGAATTAATAGCTATTCTCTGACGAAACATTAATACATTAAAGTCAGACTAAATTTATAGAAATATCCATTTTCTCTCTTTCAATTTGCTAATTTTTTTTCCCATAACTTTCCGTTAATTAATTAATTATTATAGAACAAGTTGGGGGAGTTGCAACAGGGAAGAAATCGGATTGTGAACAACTAAGAAGAAGTGGGGTTGGTAAGATACAAAAGGCCAAAATGAAAACCCTCAAGATGACCGTTATGATAGGTACCTTTTTCTTCGTTTTTTTTTCTTCGTGCTAATGAGATTTCTAAAAGGATACTTACAATTCTTAATTAATCTATTTAGTTCTCGCATTCATTCTATGTTGGACACCTTATTATACAATGTCAACGTGGTATTGGATTGATCCGTAAGTCAACTTAACCTTCTTCAAATTACAATATAGATAAATAGACAGTACTTTGAGTAATAAGTGATAGTTTTATGACTGATTCATAACTTTTCTCAAAACTAACAATAACTAAAAGTACAAGTAGCTTTTTAAGATAATGCTTGTTATTGTTCTAAGCCCTTCTTATATTATTTATCAACTCATTTTTCTTATCTTTTCTCTTTTTTAATAAAAAAGGGATTCTGCAAAGACTGTTGATAAAAAATTGGAAAGAATACTATTCATCTTTGCTGTATCCAACTCCTGCGTTGATCCAATAGTTTACGGTAATATTACACTTCTCATTTTTTGTTCCCACCTTATTTTCAAAAGAAAGATTTCTTCGTCTTTCCTTTTCGTTCTGTTTCACCTTTTTCTTGTAATATTCACGCATCATTCTCCCATTAATTATGGGGATATATAGCTTTGTTTGAGAAAGTGTTTAGCCATCTTTAAAGAAGTAGAAAAAAACATCTATTGATTTTCTTCATCTTTTTCTATAGTTAGGGAAAAAATTACTACCGTCTGCATACAATTAGTCTTTTTTTAAGGGGTTGGCAACCTTTTTGAAATATACCCAATTAAATACATCTAAATTAATTGAGTACTTTCCTTAATCTTAACCGTAAGAAATTAATTAAATTCATTTTATCTCAATATAGGTTTATTCACTTTGGACTTTCGGAAAGAAGTGACAAAATGCTGCTGTAAGCAATTTTCGAACCGCTCCGTTACATCTAGAGCGCCATCTTCTGTTGGAACAAGACAATATTTACTGCAAAAAGACAAGCACGAGGCAATATCGTTAAGTATGAGGAATGAACATAGTTTCGAATTAAAAAAACATTCTTTTGCCGGTTCGGAAGATTAGAAAAAAAAAGAAAATCTTCTATAAAATTGATAAATGAATATAAAACTCCTTATCACTTAATATTCTTTTGACCTTTAACATAATCTTTATGAAAAAGAAAAAAATTGTTCATCTTTTGTTATAGTTGCTCTAATTGCACCTTAAGGAATGTATTTTCCATTAAAAAATAGAACAAGAAAAAGGCTAACAGACGAAATGATAAGATAACGGATAATCTCTTTTTTTTATTTATATATTTAGTATTACATACGTATGTTTGGTATGTATATCTAAACTATTTTATTTCTTTCGTTTATCTCTTCTTCTTCTTCTTCTTCTTCTTCTTGGTCTGCTTTTGCTTCTTCGATTCGGTCTTTGTTATTTTATTCTTCTTTTTATTCTTCTCTTCATGTAACGAATATCGATTGTTAAATATCGCTGCAAATCTCGATAAATCCAGTTTGTATATAATGAACCCAACCCCAGTCGTCGTTCCATGACAAATTGGAAAGATTTTTTAGAGCTAAGGGTCAGGTCATAAGGGGGAAGTGTTCTAAGAGCCAGTAGAATTTTTGGTTGTTTGCCTGCGACCAATTGGCTGGGGCGGAAGCATATAGCTTTTAAGCTTTATTAACTAAATTTATTCGGCCCTAAGAGAGAAGTTCGTCAGGTGTTGATGGAAGTTTAAAAAAGTAGATTAACATCTCCTTTGGCTTTCAGGGATATTGAAAAGTAAAAATAAGAGAACGTAAAATAAGTAAAAAAATGGCAAAGGAGCTATATTCATAGATCTAACGCAAATTAAAGGAAATAGTTTTTCTAAATTTTCCCCTAATTTAACTAGTATTAAATATTTTGTGCGTCTTTTTTCTCTCCAAGGAGTCTTACTTTTTAAAGAAGAAAATTACGCACAAAACGGAAAAAGTTTTATCAAAAAGGAAGAGAAGAAGGTAGCATGACACAATTAATATCATTAGAGAAATAAATACATGTAACTTTAAATAACCGTTCACATAAGCTTTTCATATTCTTTTTTGAATAAGACACCTTCAAACTTTCTTTTTTTTTTTACTATTTTCCTCCCTGTCCTTCTTTCTTCCTCCCGCCTCTCTAGCCTCTTTCCTTTCCATTTTTTTTTCTTTTTAGACAACTGATACCCACTCAGGAAAATGACGGCATTGATGACCCTTAGAGAAAACGCTTGAAGGTTTATTTCGCTAGGGACCTTCGTATTAAGCCGCTTCTGCCTAGCCTAATCTGCTGGCGATGAGTTTTTTTCCCCCATCTCTCTCGCATCATATAGTATAAGAAGTACCTTCAATTTTTTCAATAATTTTTCCTTTCTGCGAAACTTATTAAAACAGTTCTCAAACTCCTTTGCAGTGTTTCAATAAATATGCCATAATTAATCGTTATGCTACTGTAATCAATAAGCTCTTATTTATGCCTTAGAAGAGAGGCTAATATAATTGCCTAGCACTGGGAACCAACTTTTGGTTGTTGAAAGAAAGTTCAAACTTGCCAATTAGTGAGAGAAGAGAGAGAAGAGAGAAAGAAAGAAAAAAAGAAAAAGAGAAAAAGAGAAAAAGAGAAAGCGAAAGAGCGAAAAGCGAGAGAACGAGGGTGAAACAAAGAGAAAAAAGAGCAAGAGTTATTGGTGGGTAGTTAAGAAGATAAGTTTCTAGATCAAGAGAAGTAAATAATTTTCGTTTTATAATCTTTTTGCACCTTATGATCACGTAACTAACGTGCTCTTTTAGGAGAGGTATATATATGTACAAATACTGTATATATACACTGCGTAATATACCTACTAGTGTGTACGTAAGCAGCTTATACTATTAACTCTTTTTTTTAATTGAGTATAGAGAGTTATAGTCAACTCGAAACACCTTTTAGACTTTTTTTTTTACATAAGCAAGTCTATATAATATATATATATATACATAAATTTTCCTTTAAACAACCTAGAAAAATATTATCTTAAGGAAAGTAGAGCGTATAATAGTCTTGTTCTCACTTCATAATTTACATATAAGTAGATATAAATATATACTAATATATATATATATATATATATATGTTTGTATATAACCAAAGATGAGATTATTAATAGTATATTTATACTTATTAAGCTTATTATTAATATTTAACGATGTAATTATTTCATCGTAATATAGTTAGCTTTAATTTATCAGAATTTTTGATTATACTTTGAATATATATTCGGAAAAGGAAGAGTCTTTGATCGTGACTATACCATAATCATATTTTTTCTATTGTCTATATTCGTCGTATCTTTTCTAGTCTATACTTCAGTATAAAAGGAAACTCCACATCTGTAGATCCTTTTTCTAATATCGTGTCCCTGATCTTAGATGTTTCCTTCTATTTTAGGCCTCAGACGTTTTTAATTTCTCACTCAGTTAAATTTTACCCAACTAACTTTTACACAAATGAAAATTGTCGATAAAAATACTATACATAATTATATTTGCTTCTTTCAGAATCATTAGCGTCAACAATACCAATAACAATACCAATTATCTAATTATATATCATAACATTATAATGATAGCAGGGAAAGAGAAAGAGAAAGAGAGAGAGAGAGGGCGAGAAAGAAAGAGAAAAGGAGAGAGCAAGGAAAGAATTATCAGGTGCAAGATCTGTTCCTGTTTCTGGTACGAAATTTGCAATGTTTAGTTAAAACTAAAAGGCTGTTTAGTCAAAAATAAAAAATTACCGTTTGGTTTTGGTATTTTGATAATATTGAATTAGAGATAATGATTATACTGTATATACTAATATATATATATATATATATATATATATATATATAAGATATATACTAATCTATTAATCTATACTTGTTTCTCCTATTATTTACTAGTTACATACTTATTTATATTTATTATTATTATTATTATTTTGTACTTTATACTTTCTTCTTTCCCTTTATCTCTATCATTATTGCTATTTCGAAGAAGATATTATTAAGGCATAGGCTTTTGAACATGAACAACGTAAAGAGATAAAATGAAATATATAAAAAATTGTACTTGTAAAAAATTTTTACATATAGAAATGTATTAATACCAGTGCAAAAAAAAAGATTCTTCTTACTCTCTATATTTGTCCCTCTTTTCTCTCTTTTGCTCTTTTACTCCTTATTAAAAACATCGCAGACATACTCATGGATTACTTTATACTTTCTGTCCATATACCTACTGAGCTTCCTTACCTTATCTCTCTCCTTACTTTCTTTTAGATTATGTTAATTAGTATCATTATAAAAATTTTATTAAAAGATTAGTTATTATGAACTTTTCTGTCATTTTGAGTATTAACTTTGTTTGAGCTATAATATAAGAGATAACAAATTAATTATTGAAAACATACATATATATATACTGCAAAATCGTGAATGGGGAGTCAAATTAGATATTTCAATGAAAAAGACAATAGGAAGCTACTCCACTTACATTAAAAGAAACAAAAAAAGGGAAGAGATTAAAGGTCTTTTTTTCAACAGAGATAAAACCCCTTTGTCCCAGAAAGAGCTCCCCCTGTTTTTTTTGAAATTATCATAAAACTATATATACTGATATTTAAGAAATAATTATAAATTTAATAAATATCCAAAGAGAAATCCGAGAATATTTGTTTGTTTTAGTTTAGTAGAATTACTCTTGTTTTTTCTTTTTTTAATAATAGGTATTAGAAATGATTACTTCTGCTCCTTGAGCGCCACCTTAGTAGACGACGCTTAATCTTTCCTCAAATATAGTCAGCTAACGTGACGCTCTTGGTTGATCTTGATTTTTCATAAATTGGTCGTGACATCATGGATCTTTCGATTAGGCGGTCCGTGGAAAAAGCAATAAGTGAATCAGCCTCTTCGACTAGGAGAAGGGAATCAGGTATCGTCTCAAATGGACTTCACAGTTCATTATACGTGTCATCCATCAGATCGGAACGCAGTAACTTGGAAGAACAAATGGTCACAATTAAAGCAAGTTGTATTCGAAGATTTCTCGACTATTTTATTTCGGATGATCCTTTTACTTCGAGAGGAAGATTTAAGCAACTCGCCAAAATAATAACAGTTGCGTTCATTCCAGTGGTTGTTCTTCTAGTATATAATGCTGTTTCACTATCTCAAATATCTGATAGTTATATTCAGATTAAAAATATTCTATCTTCAATTGAATTTACAATTCAATCAAGTAAAGTTGTACATAACATACAAATTGAAAGAGGTACAACGGTCTTGTACATAAGCAGTGGAGGAGACGAAACTGTTAAGCTATCGCTTGAGAGTCTTAAATATCCTTTAACCGATATGGCTATTAAAAATTTACCATTCTGGCCAGACTATTCCAGTGTTGATTATATGAATTCAAAATTATCTCTACTCACCTATATAAAAAATCATAGAGAAAATTTGAATTTTAAAAATTCGACAATTCAAGGAGAACTTGACTTTTATACTGATATTAATTCGAATCTTATACTTCTTTTGTCAAAAACTATTCAAAACAGTAAGAATGGAAATATGTGGAAAGTACTCGTTGCCTTTCACATGCTGATTGTAAGTAAGGAATTAGGTGGAATTGAAAGAGCATTTGGTAGCACGTATTTTACTTCAGGTAAGCTTTAATAAGTTCAAAAATTGTATACTTTACAAAATTATTTCGTTAATATCGAAGTCATACAACTTCGTTTTTTAGCATCTCTCGTTTTGTGTTTTTCATCAGGTTCATTCTCTCAAACAAATCTTATAAAGTATCTAGAAAGGAAATCGAATGGCCTATCTTATCTTTCTCAGGCGAAACTTTATTCGAGTGATGTAACAATTGCTTTGAAAGGCAGATTCAGTAATACATCTCTAAGCCGAACATTGTCCAAAATGAGAACAGATATTGGGTTAAATAGACCAATAAATAAATCAGTACAAATGGCTAAATGGTGGTTCGAGAACATGACTCTATATATTAATCTGTTAAAAGAAATTGAAGACGATCTTGCTTTGAAAATAAAACTTGATTTGAACAGCCAGTTAAAATCTTCACAATACACTTTAGCAATTTACTCAACATTAATGGGCCTAGTTTTACTTTTATCTCCTATTATTATATATTTTCTGCATAGACTAACTTCCGGGATACACGCTTTCGCTGTTGGGTAATATTACTTTATTTCTCTTATCAATAAAACTCTACATCCTAATCTTAATTGTTATTAATCAAATATAAACGTTGTTTAGTTGGCAAGATTAAAGTTATTTTTATTGTTTTCTTTCTACTTAGATTACGTGAACAAACAGAAGAGTTAAAAGATGAAAAACAAAAATCAAAGTACCTGCTACTAAGGGTAATTTCACCAAAAATAAATTATAATGACTATTAAACCCCGTGTTTTTTTAGTATTTTCCTTCGATTATTCTCCTAATTTTCAATCCTCTTTCTTTCTCTTTCTACTAAAATAAATATTAAAATAGAAAGAGATACAAAGGAGTAAAAGAGGGAGAGAGAGAGAGGAGAGGTGACAGTGATCTTGTTACAGATAAGAGTAACGGGTAAGAAAGAGTATAGAATAATAAAACAAAATAATATCGATATTAATAATTAAACGAGATTAGTTAGTTTTTTTAATAGCTAAAGCTTATCTTTCCTTGCATTCCTTTTTCTTGTTGTTTCTCTCTCTCTCTCTCTCTCTCTCTTCCCCCTCAATTGCTTAACTTTGTTGCTATCTGTTCTTACATACACAAATAATCTGTATATTAACTCGTTTCCTTTCTTATTCTATTTCTTATTACAGATGCTACCTGAAAGTATAGCTGAAAAACTTTTATTATGTGAAAAAATAGAACCAGAAGTCTACGAATCAGCAACAGTCTATTTTTCAGATATTGTTGGATTTACTGAAATATCTTCCAAATCAACACCAATTCAGGTTTGAATTAAAAATATTTGATCATTTTATATTCATAATAATACTGTATATATTGCAAAATACTATATATATATATATATATATATATATATACATTTTAACTAGATTGTTACGATGTTGAATAATTTATACAATCTATTCGACGACAAGACCGATCTATACGATGTCTACAAAGTTGAAACTATAGGTATAAAAGATAACACAATTATATATACTGTATATAGATACTATATTGTAAAAACAAACATATCTACAAAGTTATAATTCGATTTCTCTTGTTTTCATTGAATTCTTGTCCAAAAACATCGTAATCAGGAGATGCATATATGGTTGCATCAGGTGTTCCTAAACGAAATGGCATACAACATGCTTCAGAAATTGCAAACATGGCTTTAGATTTAATAAATTCCATACCACAATTAAAAGTTCCGCATCTCAGCGAACAGGGATTGCTTCTCAGAATAGGCCTGAATTCTGGTAATATTACATAATAGTAGGAAAAAAATAAGGTCATAATTTTGTTTCATTTAAGGTACCGTTGTTGCTGGTGTTGTAGGTAAGTTGTATAATTATAAAGATATTTTTAATTAATAGATTCTCTATCTTTTTCCCTTTCTTTCTGTCTTTCTATTTATCTTTCTTTTCTCTACTTAAATTGATATCTTAATAAGAAAATTGATTGTAATTAGATAAATAAGTAACAGTTGCCTCTCTTTCTTTTCCTCTCTCTCTCCCTATCAGTATATATATTCTATTACTTTTCCGTCCCATTTTAGGATTGAAAATGCCAAGATATTGTTTATTCGGCGATAGCGTTAATACTGCATCAAGAATGGAATCAACATCACTTCGTTAGTAACAATTCACTTTTGTCTTTAACTCTTTTTATCTAAAAGTGGATATTTGATGTCATATCAATGAAAAGTAGAGAACGTGTCAAATCATAGGTTAAAAAAATGTCAACAAATCTAAAATAAGCTTGAAAATTAATTAAAATTACTCTTTTTTCGACTTTTCAAACGATAGCTCTACGAATTCAAATGTCATCTGCTACGTGTGACTGCCTCAGAGCTTTGGGTGGCTTTCAAATTGCTGAACGTGGTATTATAGAAATCAAAGGAAAAGGTAGCATGTGCACATTTTGGCTATTGGGTTCTAACCTTTTTCCAGTTAGAAGAGAGTTATATCTCGACTTGCAGGATGAAAAATTCAAGAGCGCTTCAACTCAAACGTGACTTTGAAAGCAGTTAAAAAAGAATGAATAAATATTGATATAATTATTACCATCATCACCACCACCACAACTACGACTCTACTTCTACTACTACGACCACATCAAATATCATTCTTTAATTTCTTGTATGTTATCCTTATCTACCATATATTTTTCGTATTCCAACTATTTTAATAGAAGATGTGTGGTTTGTAATACAGTATATTCATTAGTAATGATTTAATATTAGTTTACTAGTATACCTATACACATATATACATATATATACATATATACAATGTATATGTGTTTGTGTACTTGTATGTGTAATGTTTTACATTATGTGAATATTAATAAATCTAAATTAGAGAAAAAAGAAAAATTCATATCCCGGAATATCCTAATATTCATTAATCATTATGATTACGTTAGAAAATGACAAAATAATTATAATAATTAATATTCATAAGATGTTTAATTTACACTCTAGCGCTACCTTCTCTTTTCTGTAAGTGTATCAAAAGTATATAAGGAACGAAAACGGGATAAAATTATAGGTAAAGGAATACGAAAGAGAGGGAATTTATATCTATGTAGATAGCAATTAACCAGTATATATTGTATATATAAATTCACCTTTAATTACAGAGAAGATAGCAAAAAGCTCTCTTTTAGTTCAAATTGTAAAAGCATATTTTGCATACTTTGCCAAACAGGAATATAGAAGAAATTTTATTTTTTAATAAAAATAGTCGAAATGGCTTCAAAATCAACAAGAAAAGTCGTTCCAGTAAGTAAAATCTCTTCTATTCCATCTATCGAAGCTGATAAGCTTGCAGCAAGTAACCACACCTCAAATTCTATTTCACCACCGTTTAATACTAAAAGTATGAAAACTCCTACTAAAGGAAAGGAGTTGACTGAAGATTTTAATCGTCAAGCAATTAAAACAAAGTGGAACAGAAATAAGGAATTTGGAAAGATTCTTATAGTGTGCTGTGTCCCGATTGTTATCTTATTGATTGAATCAATAATAGCCGTGGTTAATGCACTTGTTTTATATAATTTAACTGTATCTGTGAAAGATTCAATATCATTTAGCGTTCAGATAAGTGGAGTTATACACGCACTTCAAAAGGAGAGAGGCAGTACTGCCCTATTTGTTAGTTCTAAGGGATCTCCAGAAGTTTTTGAAGACTTATCTCGTTTCAAATATGTTGAAACTGACGAAGCTCTAACTAATGTTAAAGGATGGAGAAAAACAGCCAGTTCTCCGAGATATTTGGATTCAAGACAAAGTTTACACGAATACATTAAAGAAAATAGACGTAATTTGGACGGTAAAACGTCTCCGGTAAACGAACAAATTACATTCTTTTCGGAGGCAAATAAAGCACTCATTCAAATTCTAGTTGATGGTATAATTATTGCAAAAAATTTACCACAATGGAATGATTTAGTCGCTTTCCATTTATTAATACATGGTAAAGAAATGACTGGTAAAGAAAGAGCAATCGGAAGTACATTCTTCGGCAGAGGTTACATGCCTCAGTCGGATCTAGTTTGGTATGTAGATACAAAATCCGAGGGAATTTCCTACTTGAAAAAAGCTGGAATCTATTCCGAAGGAATAAATACATTAATTAATAAATATTACACGAATAGTCAACTAGAGATTGACCTTACAAATTTAAGAAACGAGATAAAGCGTAATATTAGAGTACCGCCATCAGTTCAAAGAGGGAATATATGGATAAGTAATATAACATCATATATAAATATACTTAAAATAATTGAAGATGAACTAACAAATAATATAACAATCTGGTTGGAGCAGACACTCGTAACAACCAAACAGAATTTGATAGCTTATACGTCCTTAATAGTTATTGTACTATCTGTGATTCCTATAACTATCTATTCAATACTTAAATTAACAACCGGTCTTCAGAATTTTGCTCTAAGGTAGGTTTCATGTATTTTATTTAATTATCTATCCTTCTATGTTCCCGTCTTTGTATATTACTCTCCCCTTTCCCTTCCTTTAACCTCTTTCGTCTCTTAGTAGTTCAGTATACTGTAATATATATATATATATATATATATATACATATATATTTAATGTTTTACCAGCCTAAAAGAGCAGACAGATGAACTTCAAGATGAGAAGCAAAAGACCAAGTTCCTTTTATTAAGGGTAAGTAAAAGAAATTAGATTGGATGTAGAGGTTACAAAAGGTTAAAAAGTCAATTCAATATTAAGACAATTTTTCTCCATCATTCTCTCTTAATTGGGCTATTCATTATTATACAATATATAGATATTACCCGGATCAATAGCCGAAAGACTCTTATCGAGCGAGGAAATTGAGCCTGAACATTTTGAATCAGCTACGGTCTATTTCTCCGATATAGTTGGCTTCACTGATATTTCTGCCAGATCTACTCCTCTTGAAGTTGTTGATATGCTTAACATGTTGTACAAATTATTCGATGAGAAGACGGATAACTATGACGTCTATAAAGTAGAAACTATAGGTTAGCGGCGAAAGGCTTCTTTCCACTCAACTCATCAATAAAATGTCTAATTCATTAGCTTATTTCTTACTATTTCAGGTGACGCCTATATGGTTGCATCAGGCGTTCCTAGGAGAAACGGTTATTCTCACGCTAAAGAGATAGCTAATATGGCTTTAGATTTATTACATTCAGTTGGCACATTGTCCGTTTGGCATCTGGACAATTCGACGCTAAAATTAAGAATAGGGATGAATAGTGGCCCTGTGGTAGCTGGCGTTGTTGGACTGAAAATGCCGAGATATTGTCTATTCGGGAAAACGGTCAATAGAGCTAATTTAATGGAATCGAAGGGATTACGTAAGTGATATGAAGAGGTTGTAGGTTAAAGTAAAAAAATGTGGTCAGATAAGGCTTTTCCAAACATTTCAATATTGACCCCTTAACACCGCCTGCTCTCTTGTTTATAATTAACGATAACGTCAGACGGAGGAACGAATATCAAATATCTAGTTATCTATTCGCCAGCGGTTTTAAATAGCCCACATTTTTCGTAAGTGCCCGTTTTTTTAACAGCTCAATGTATCCACATTTCATCATCAACATTCGACCTTCTCACCTTGGCTGGAGGCTTTCAATTCCAGGAAAGAGAGTCCACGCAAATACAAGGATCAGAAGAAATTATCACATATTGGTTAATTGGTTCTGCCAAGTGGCCATCGCCAAAAGGTTACAAGATCGAGGAAATCCAGTATAAGCCATCACAGACGCATGCGAATACTCAAGCGTAAATTGTATAAATCACTTTTTCATCTTGTTTATGTTTTTATGTTAGAAAAATACTAAATGTTACGTCAATAGCCTATAAATATAAATCTTAAACGAGAGAAAGATCTTGGCCTAAACTGCAAAATAAAACAATATTTACAGCAGCAAAATAATTCTCTATAACGCTTGTTATACTCATTGAAATAGAAGAACATCTATATACAGTATATATATATATTGTATAATGCACATTTAAAACTCGCTATTAGTTATCAATAATAACAAGAATAAAACAAAATATATAGATATTATTCTCGTAGTTTTTAGATCAGTATATTAAGGATATTTAATATCAATATACAGTTTACGCACCGCATATTCCAGTAATAAACAGATAACCCTATTGAGAATGTATGCTCTTTCAACTCATATAGTTAAGTTTACATATCCCGCAGTTACATATACAGTATATACTGTATATAAAGTAGATAATCTTTCGCGGTTAAGATTTAACAAACTTTCCAATAAAAGGGAGTATAGTACTATCAAACGTTATTGTATTTATATACAGTATATATACTGTATATGGATAAATGGCATATGGAATATAGGATATGCTATATGGCAGATATAGTTTATAAATTTGTATCTAATACACGCGTTTCATATACTTGGCATATTGTTTATAAACCTCTCATTGAAAGCGTCTAAATAGCGCGCGAAAACACGTATATACTATATATTTACATATATATTGTAAAGTATCCTAAAGTACCAAATTCATTTCGGACAAGATTAGATGATAAACAAAACCGGATTATAAAAAGGAAAATATGTAGGAGGATAAAGAATAGATAGGAAGAAGCTATTAATTTAGGATTAGATCATAATTTACATTGTATATATTTATTAAATGCTAAAATAAACAATATTCTGTACATAATGTCCACTAGTCGATATAGAGAATAATTCTCATTTATATTCTCTTAATCTATCTTTCTATCATTTCTCTTAATTTTTTTTATTCCTTTTCTTCTGCTCTTTGATTTTGCATACCTCTCTCTCTCTCTCTCTCAGAGTTTCAATTTTTTAATTTCAAAGGGAAGAACATATTTTCTATATAATCTTAAACATGTATACCTTCTCCTGCTTCCTTTGTTTTTGGTATAAAAGTATTGCCTAGCTGAAAATTACTACTGTATTCTCTTATGATTTTTCATCTTGTACAACATGAGAATCTTGGATAATACGAGCTTAGTACAAAGAGAGCAAGTAATTTGTGTATACAATACATGTAAATATCTATATATATATATATATATATTTATATATATTATCTATATATATAGATAAATGTATACATACAAAAATTATGTAGAAATAACGATTGTATAGACATATTTCTATACACAGTACGAATGCTGTATAAACGTCTATATATACAGTACCTAGTGGTATGCGCATAAAAGCATACACATATATACATACTGCATATATATTATTATTATTATTATTATGTATAGAATTACATTTATGAAATATATGCATATTTTATATACGAAAATAACTGTCATAACAAAATCAGTATATGCAGTGAAAAATCTCGTTGATACAAGTTTATTAATATATTATAATATTTTTATTTAAAACAACATTTTATGAACTTTTTTTGCCCGTCGTTTTATTCTCCTTTTCTTTTTTATTTCTGTCAAAAATTTTGGTTTCTTTTTTTTTATAAAAAAAATCAATTTCCCTTTTTTTTTCCTTCCAACCAAAAACATTCGTAATATTTTCTTTTCCTTTCCTAGTTGTCCGTTTGATACTTTCCCATTGAATTTATTTAATATTACTTTCGTTGTTTTATGCATTTCTTTTCGTTCTTTTCTCTATCTATCAATTTGTCTGTTTCGCTCTATCTCTAATCCATGCTTAGCTCTCCATCGTACTCTCCTTCCACCCAAACAATTTGATTTTTTTTACCTCTAATCGTAATTTTTTTGTTTGAATTTCTCTTCTTTTTAGAAAGTTTTTAGCAAAATAAAAATTTTTAAAAACAGGGAAAAGAAAAATAAGAACAAAAGAAAAAAATATAGAAATAAAGAAGATTGTTGTGTTATTTTAATTATTCTTTCTTCTTTATTATCTCTTCTTAAAATGTTTGTTGTTAAAAATTCCAATAAAAAGCGATTTGTTTTTTAAATGAGCAGAAAACTATTATCGAAAATATCAGCCATCAAAACCTGTATAACAAAAAACGATTATAGTATATAAATACAGTACGATGAATCAAAGACTATACTACTTGCTAAGATTGTATAGTGATTTTTATAATAATAGAAAGAAGAATGAAGGAAATAAAGGATGCAGTTTCACTTAATCCATTTAATTGGTTTAGAAAGAAACTATCTCATTTTTTTTCTCTTTCTTTCTCTCTCTCTCTCTCTCCTTCTGAGTTTGTTACTTACCAGTTTATCTGTTTAATTTTTAGATGGATGGGATAGTGGAACCGCGTAGAAAATCCAATAGATGATATTGAAGAGTAAGAAAGCTATTGGGAAAAGTTTTCTAGAGATTTTATCGACTTTTCGAGCCTTATGTTTTCCTTCGGGGTCGACGACTTTTGGTGGTTCTCTCCTGTCCGATCCGTTCTCGACAATGTTGATCTGTTTATAAGAAAGAGACTGTAATAGATTTTTTCTGTTTTTTAATAGAAAAAACAAAAATAGACATAATGAAGTAAAAATAATAGGAAAAATAGAAAAAACCACTTAAAATGCTTTTTATTTTATTATTTTTATACATAAACATTTGGTTAGAAGCAGTCAGTTAAAATTGAAAAATAACAAAGGCACGCTGCGCCATCTGGCAGATGTTTAAATAAGAAATTGCTGGCGTTAATAGTCAACCGCAGGCAGGAAAGAAAATAAGAAAAATTCTGAAATTAGCACGCGGAGAGCAGGCATAAGTACCGGAATGCCTGAAAAATCGTGTCTACCGCCCATTTCTATACTCTCCATTCGCTGGTCGTCCTGGAAACAGATACGCCATTTTCGATTCCGTTTCGAATAGCGACTAGATATCTAAGGGTTGGTAATACGCTTTAGCGCAATAAATCTCTCAATTTATCAAAATTAGCCAAAATAAAATGGGGGAATATGGAGAATGATATGGAAAGAAACTCATTTACCTGGTCCCATTGGGTTTCTGGATCCAAATCCTTTCTGAGCGGGGGCGGCTTACGGACGGGTTTGATTGTTCGGACTTCTTTCCGCGATATTACGTTGACGACGGCGAATTCCAAAAGAGATACGAAAACAAAGACCAGGCAAACTGACATCCAAACGTCGATAGCTTTTATATAAGAGACACGTGGTAAGGAAGATCTGGCTCCCGTCGATTGGGTAGTCATGGTAAGCACAGTAAGTAAGCCTAATGAAACGCGGGCTGGAATGGCGTCGATGTTGATCCAAAAGGCTACCCAGGACAGGATGACAATCAGCATGGATGGTATATAAACCTGAATGAGGAAGTAACCGATATCCCGACGTAAAATAAATCTTATTTCCAGGCACGGATATGCTCCTGTCGTATAGTTTTGAGAACAGTCGTACTTGATTTGATCTTCTAAAGTAAATTGCGGTAGTTCTACATCCTCGTCTATTTCAATAGCTCTTGCTAGCCAAGCAAAGTACATGGTATCCATAGTATAACCAACTGCAAATAATTGTATATAATTCTCATATTTATTTATATAAATAAGCCAAGCTAATACTGTATAGATGAGTATTTAGCAACTATTTTTTTCTACTTACAACTCTCGAACATGATTGGGCACGACTGCTTGTCTAAAGGATAATTATGTAAAAGCATAGGACAGGAAAGAGTCGCTGAGATTCTGTTAGGGATAAAAAGAAAAGAAAGGCGGAACACTTATTACTAATAACCATAATTTTTAACAATAATAAAAAAAAAGTAATAACAGTAAACAATATTAATAAAGAATAATAATAATATTATTACATAGAAATCAGTGCAAGAAAGAGCAAAGAGAAAGAAAACAGATAAAACATTTTCTTTTTTTAGGCATGCTCAATATAAAAGATATACAGTATAGACAAATAGACATTCGATTTTGGTTACACCCTCTGGCTAACCTCTCGAATGCTTGATTATAAACAAACGGTTCTTCTCTTTTAAACCGGGTGTTGCGCAATCGATTCTTTTCTCTTATTTCATATTTTTTTCTTTCTCGCTGAGTGTAGATAATGTCCCTCTCCACCCCCCCTCTCTCTCTCTCTCTCTCTGCATGTCGCCCCTCGTCCCTCGCACTCTATCACTCATACACTCTTTCTCTTTTTTCCCCTCAATTTTTCCCCCCGTGCCATTTTATTACTCTTTCTCTCTCTCTCTCCCTTTTCTTACTAGATGAACTTTTACGCTCAATTTCCATCTCTCTCTCTCGCTCTCTTACTCGTACGCTCCAGCTATCTATCTTATTTTCACTTTATTTTTATTTAATCACCACATCTTTTCAGCTAATTTATTTTTTTAAGAAGCAAGAAAGTTATCATTCTTTTTTTATGTTTCTTTTTTTTTAAAAAAAACAATTTCCCCATGCGCATTATTATTATTTATTAATTAACTATTTAATGTTATTAATTTGCAATCTTCACTTAAAAACATCCCTTGGTTTACCTTATCACCGGTTTGTTTACAATCCAGCCAAATCATCAAATCTATTTATCTAGACATTTTACTTACTTAGAGACGTACCACAACGTACCGTCGGGTTTGATCTGAAGAAGACGATTCGGTACGCTAATGGAATGAAAGGACGCCTTTTTCTCGTTGCGGAAGAAGACGTCTGGTGTCCAAATTTCTTCCCAGGTTCCCATACCCATCCTTATTTTGTGTTCCGGTTTTGCGTTGGGCATGATGTGGGAAAATGCCAATCTAGGATCCTGCCACTCCTGGCGCAGGTACATACTCAGTTGATAGTCCTGATTTCAATAGAGAGGTGCGAAACATGAAAAAAACACGATTCCCGGAAAAAAAAGGCAGAAAATTCGAATTTTGTTTTCAATTCTTTTGGAACATGCCCCCGAAAGAGCAAAAAGAAATGTTTGTATAGAAGTTAAGAGAGAAATCACGGCAAACCACTCAATTATAGTCTCACGAAAAATCTCGTGCGGCCACTTACTTAGTAACGTACCAAACTCTACCAGTCGTATTCAAGGTCATAAATCGATTTCTAACGGTAACCGTATGGAAACTGCCGAACTTTTCGTTGCGGAAGAATGTATCAGGCAGCCATACCCTTTCAACATCCGAATCTCCGACCCTAAAAGGTATGGACGTATGTCGCGGGGCATTTTCCTTTTTGTAAACCAACCTTGGGTCGTACCACTCTTGACGAAAGTAAAAACTGATTGACGAGTCCTAATCGAATTTGTTAGAAAAATCATATTAAAAAAAATCACGTTAAAAAAGGTAGAAAGAGAAAGATAGATTGATAAAATGATAGATTGACAGATTATCTATAAAAAGAGAGATAAGCTAGATAGTGTAAGTGGAAGAGAGAAAAGGAATGACAAACGTTGTTTTAATCTGTGGCAAAGCAAGTCTGCTTTTCTCGTTTATCGGTGTATAGAACAGTTTAGATAAAGTCGACTTTTCCCTAGTATTCTAAACATATATAGAGATATTATTTATACACTTGGTGGGCATGTTCCAGACAAACAAATCGAATTTGGCTCCCTTACCATTGTTTGTTCGCTAATGGAATAAAAGCTGTTCACGTAGATCCCCAGTTTGACTCGAGTAGGTTTATCTAATGGATTAAGAAGAAAAAACAAAGAGAAATTATTCCTTTATTCAAATATACTATGTACAGTATAAACATAAAGAAATATATATATAAAAAAAAGGGAGGGAGGGAGGGAGGAATAGATAGATAGATAGATAGATAGATAGAGAGAGAGAGAAAGGGAAAGGGAATTGTCGAAAAAAAAAAACTAACAAATTACTCTAATGAATTTTTTTTTCTTTAGTTTTTTCTCTTACCTTTCGTTGGAGGATCCTGTTTATTATATGTTTCTCCATCTATTAAAGCTCTGAACAATTCGGAAGTTCTAAAAAAAAAACAGGAAAGAAAAATTTTTTTCTCTTTTATTACATTACATTCGATCGATCTAACACAAAACTGTATACTCGGATATTATTGGAATAGTGTCAACTTACGAATTGTAGCGTTTCTTAACCCTTTTTCCTTTATTCGGATCTTTTTTCTTACCATACAGATTACCACTGCCACTATAAGAGGGGAGGAAAAAAAAGAGAAAATATACTCATTAATGAAGTTTGGTATAAGCTATTTACTCTTTCTCTTTCATTCTCATTTCCTTTTTTTTTAATCCTCTATGTAAGACCGTTAATACCTAATTTTTTTATATATAAAACTGCACAGATAGATAGATAGATAGATTGATAGAGAGACAGACGAATATAATAAAATGAATATATATATATATATAAAAGAGTAAGGGAGAAATTGGATAAAAAGAAAGAAATTTCCTATCGATAATTACAGCAATACGCTTCCATGATTGTGTAAAGCGCAGATGACTCTTTGGCAAACTATGCAGTATACTATATATATTGTAATATTGTATATGTGTATATAAAGCAAACAAGGGAAAAGAAAATATTTAATAAAAAAAAAATTCTCATAACGCCGTTTCGGACGCCGGATTTCTGCTGTTATTCCTCTCACATTTCTCGCTTATTCGATTCTTGACAGTCGGCTAAAAATTAAATTTGGACCGCCGCACCCTTCGTCAAATATTTATTCCCCGCTTTCCAGTATAGAGCCGTCATTAATTAACCGGTAATGAAAGCGTATACGGCTTCTTTTCCCCTCTCACTCTCCTCTTACTCCCCCCTGCTCAGTCTCTTTAGCACCTTACTGTTCGCCTTTCAATCGCACTTCCTATTCTTTTTTTCTATTTACCGCCAACCTTAAGGCTACATCGTCACCTCAAAACCTTTTATCCGCCCTCCACCGCACCTTGTTTATCAAGTCCCCATACCCCACTCCAATCTTTTTCCCTCTCTACCATTTTATAAATATCTTACATCTTCCTATGCGCCAAGCTCCCAATCCGTTTTCTCACCCTTCATTTCTTTCTCACTCTCACTCACTTTCTCCCTCACTCTCTTTTTCTCTCTCGCTTCAGCTTTGCCTCTATTTTTTACCTTGCACACTTTTCTCATTCCCCTTTATTTTTATTTAATACAACCACTTTCGTAAAAGAAAATTGGCCGACGGCGCCTCTTTTTCGATTTAATTAAACTATATATCGACATTCGCTACCGCTGCTTTTGCGTCTAATCTCTTGATTAACGTCATCGAGAGAGTTAAAAATTTTTTTCATTTATAGGCCTATAAACACGACCATCAACCATTTTAGCTGGCTAGAGTTTTTATATGTAATGCATTTTCTATTCTGGCCTCCGGGACGTTGATTTTCCTAATCAGCTCAACGAGCACGTCGTTCGATATACGGCAGCGCCCCGCAAAACTGCAACGCTCGTTAGAAAACATCACACGTTAGATTCGAATGGCAAGTCACGCCAACCGGATGACATTTTCACTTGCCACATAAAGCGTCTTTCAAGCTGAACCGGTCCTGAGTAGGAATAAAAGTGTACACGTATGCATTTCGTTGCATAAATATGCTGCATATCACACGCAATTAGAACAAATGATGTTTCACTATAGATATAATATAATAATCTCGTAACAATAGATATACCTATGTATTATTCATGGAAATACATACGATTAGTGAAGGGTGAGAGAGAGAAAGAGAGATACATAGAAATAGCATATCTCAACGCCATTTACACGCGCTTAAATGATGAAAAACCCCATTAAAAAAATACTACAACGTAGAGCTTAAGTAATTTTTTAAGCCTAATCTTTAACTGTGACGCCGTCGGTGAGTAATTTAAATAATTATCAATAACATAGAGTGTCTTTTTTTCAGGTTGAAAAAACATGCCTCGGGCAGATCAATTGCTTCAAAATAAATCGTCGACGACAGTCGACGAGTCGATGCTTTTCCAGTGTTTCACGCTATACAGACCAGCCTTGCATTCGTTCGAAGAAAAGGCCAGCTTGTCAATAATTTAAAAGTTCTGTTGCAAGCGTCGAATCGATAGGCCGTACCCCTTCCGGAGTTGATAGGCCAGTATTTATGTATAAAATACGGTAAGTTTAATCGTTTTTTCTCTATACATCTGATTTATTAATAGAAATTTTCTCTGCTTAGTCGTTAGTTTTTGTTCCATCCTAATGAGGATATAAACTCGAGCGAAGGGACACCATTAAAGGGGCGTCTCTATTAAAATTCAAAGATGAAAAGCGGACGTAGTACGACCGTCGAACGAGGACAAAATCAATAGAAACGCTTGTTTAACGAGCGCCGTGCCTGTTCGACGGCGTCTTGGAGCACATTTTTTTTTACACGCCGATAAATAAATTGTATGTATGTATTTTGCGCGATCGAGTGAAATAAAATAGGGCGATAGAAATCAATAAAAAAATAAAAAAAACCCAGTGAAACAGAAATAGAGGACAAGCACGGAAAGAGTGAATGAGAGTGAGAGAGAGAGAGGGGGCGGGGAGGTAGGGGCAGAGACAGAGAAAGTACAGACGAAAGACAGAGCGAGAGAAGAAAGGAGGGGGTGGGAGGTAGACAGTGGTAAAAAGACAGGGCAAAAACGTGGTAAGAGAAGCATAAAAGCAAGACACATACAGAATGACAGAGATAGAACGATTAATATTCATCGTCTTGATGCCGTTTAGCTTATACAAAAGCGGAATTAGGAGGAACGTATAAAAGAAACCGGTAACGTCATTGAATCCCAAGAGGCGTCTCTCTGCACTCTCAGCGAACGGGCGTCACTAATACCGAAGCTGCGACTAATGGTCGATGGGTGAAGGCCAACTGCAAAAAGTCTATCAGTAAGGGAACACTACAAGAATTTCCTTCCGCCAATCGAAAATCAACAGAGAAAATATTAGAAAAGAGCCGTATGCAATTTACTTTTGCAACGACGGCTTTAAACGCTTGTTTGTGCAAATGTTGATGGATAAACACAGAATATATTTTTTCATCATTATTTTTCATTCTCAAGGGCAGGTTAAGCTGTCTAAAATGCATACCAAATAATATTCATACATACGATGAATCTCGATTTTGATTTTGATCCGAAAATCCATTTAAAGCAGCCTAGCACGATATTTTGCTTCGTAGAACGAATATAACTAACGAATATACGTTAAGCCAATAAAAAACGTAAATTAAGGAGGACACGCGACGAGTGGGACATAAATATACAATATATGCTGAAGGTCATGTATAACAGATAGAGACAACTTTTGAGTGTATAATGTAAACATCTCTAGACGTGGAGAGGTAGGAAATATAGATATATATATATAATATAAAAAAAATGACTATATGTCTGTCTTCATTATATTCATATATATATATATATATATAAATATCTTACGCATGTGTACACACTCTAAAAGACAGCATAAGTAAATATTGCCCTTATTCATAGCGATATATCCACAACTACAAGTCATCTCTGACTTTATAGTCTATTCAGGTCTTGAATATTGTATTATCTACAAATCATAAATACTCACTGGTTATTAAGAAATTGGCGTTTATTAGCCTTTTTTTCTGATTCGACAAACTGCCCATACTGCAGCCACAGGAAAAGAGTGGCGAAGAGCAGTAGGTTAATTCGACAGCAGAGCATTAAAATCTAGAGCCCGGAGAAAATAGCCTTACATCACTTCTGCTTCTTCTCCCACTTAGTCTTCCTCCTCACTCCTTATACCTACTTCTTCTTACCACTCTTTTCAATTCGTTTTCTTTACTTGTCAGTTCTTGCTAACACTCCTCTTCTCTTTGTAAAAATCAAAATTGGCTTCTCACTGAGCCGTTTATTGCTCCTTTCCCTTTTTTCTATTATTATATAGACGTACTCAAAAATCGGTTTGTCAGCAGCAAACTCTCTCTGCGTGTGAATTCAGGCGGCGGCCAGGCGGCGTCCTCGTCGACCGCATTCTGTTAGCATAATGCACCGTCACAATCCAATAGAACGGATCAGTAATGACGTCATCCCTCGCTTCGCATTCAGATCTGGAGTCTGACAGTAGGGCGGTATTTTCCTATTTGAACAGCGACGGATTAATTATAACGATTAAATATAAAGCGCTCAGTCGTTAAGTGTTTATATTCGCACCCTGTATTGAATGATAGACTTTTTACCACGAATAACAAATGGAGGCCTACATACGTCCAACGATTTTTCCTCTGACCGCCCACTCCCCGTCTATACTGGTCTTTCCCATTACCCCTTAATTATTTATGTACGACTATTGAAGATCGAAGAAATGTTCCCTCGATTTTTCACTGTCTCTTAATTCAACCAGATCTTCTCCTTCCTCCCTCTCCATTCTTCTCTACGAATGGTATCTATGCTTTAGTGTCTGCTTGGTAAAACGCCTATAGATGTTTTCCAAATGATAAGAGGAGATTATAGAACGATTGCAGGCAATTGCCATTCGATCTGGGAGCTAGAATGAAATTTTATCGTTTCTAGCAAAAGTCCTCAAGTAATCAAGCCTCGATTCTCTTCGCCCACCCGAAATCGGCTAATTTCTTCCACATGAACACTGAGCGAGCTTCTGTTATATAGAGGGCTAATTCGATATTGGAGAAGGAAAATTACAGTTGAAGACGGTGCGACCTTTTCCTTAGCTAGCTGAATAAGATTAGAACAAGACGAATTACGCCAAACTTTACAAACTGCTCGTCTCTCTTCGCCGATTCTAACAAGGTTTAAATGCAAATTGCAAACATCTGCCGGGCAAACTCGGAAATCTAGCACGGAGCTAAACTAGCAAGAAATGTCGAATGTCTATACGAATTATGTAAGGAGGAAAATTGATTTTTCTAGTTTGTTTAAGAGCAAACGAGCAGCTGGAGCGAAAAAGAAAAAACTTTTTCACGAAACAGCAACTGCAACTCTTATAAATCACTGTCTCAGTTTATTTTTGGTCCGCTTCGAATCTGTATGCATGTAAAATGTCAAAGTTCATAGCAGAAAACAGCTGCGAATAAAATCGAAATAAAGTAATAAACAGGTCCATGCAGATTAAAAATTCATTTATATATCTTCCGTCTAACAATTGAGGTTGGCATTTCCCGGATAACCTTTTTGCGACCTCTGCAATATGCAGTATGCATTAAGTTGAACGCTCGAATGTCTTTTCAACGTAATTCCTCGCAAGAGCAATTTTCACCCTTCCCGCTTCCTAATTTTCCAACGTTTAGAGTACTAGACGACTTTTCCGCGTAAATGTGTCGATATTAAGGCAACAATGTAATGAAAGATGCTAGCAGGCGGCGAGCCGTGAAATTATTCTTCATGACGCAATCCGAACAGCCTCTTCATCAATTTACCCACGCGAACGAGAGGAAAAAAATCGTAGCCTTAAGGCTTCCCTTTAATTCATTCACACTCCGCCATAGTTCTGCATTAAAGCTGGCCCAATATAAAAATGTGTAAAACAGAACGACATCTATAGCAGGCCTAGAGGCGTCATTTAAAAAAGTATATCTATCCCTTTCATATATCAGAAAAGAGAAATTTATGTATAATAGATATACAGCTATGCAGATATGAATGGAAATTTTTACGTTACGAGTAAATAACTTTTATGTTCAGATATCTATAAATGCATAAACTTATAAATAAGTCCACTTCTACATATATTGTCTTATATATATATAAATATATATTAATATATAATTGCATATATCAGTACATAAAAGATCATATGTTTTATATATATATATATATATATATTAGTATATATATTTATATATATAATGTATATTCCTGTCTTTTCGTATAGACTTTTTGCATGTAATATATTTATATATATATACATATATATTTATATACTATATACTATATACAAATACAATCCCCTCTCTCTTCTCTCACTCTACGCCGACCGCAGAACGAGGCCGATATAAGAAGAACATGATTGATCGGCTAGCATAATTCTTTAGCAAAGCTTGATTTATTCTTTCGCTATGCGTCCGCGTTATTTTTTCTCTCCTCTGGAACAAGATAACGTTAGCTTAATGGAAAAGCGGCCGGAAAGGTGAGCTCCGCCAAAGATGGCTGGAAGGTAAAAGCCAAAGCTTTTTGTTTTCGAAACAATATTGCATTAAGATAATGCTCGAGGCGGCGGGGAATCGAGGTGGTCGTTTACACAAGTGTGAGGGAAAGATTGGCGGCTGAAGTATAACAGCAAGATTCCACTATATATACTATATACAAACATCTTCCAAGTTGTATTCGTCAAAGACGCTCTAATTAATTCGATGAATCCTCGCTAAAGTCGACACGACAGGCCTACCTCACCCACGCCAAAATGGTATCGTCTACGTCAACAATTTCATAACCTGATCGGGTGTTCTTGGAGCGATTGTGTTCGCCTCGGGATATTCATTTTCTGAAAGTTTAAGGGCTTGATACATTGAAGAATAGGCACGGCATATTAATTCTGTTGATCGCTGTTTAACGCTGTCCCGTAATTTCGTGCTCATCAACGCGTTGCATTGCGGAAGAACGAGCGAATCGGGTGATGCCAGATAGGAATCGAATTTCGCCTGCGGAAATGAATTACAGGTGTTAACTGACACTTGTATAGCGCTCAATTAAATACGCGCTCCTATATACCATAGCACTCTTAAGGGTAGCTGCATCGGCTGCCGGTAATTGAGAAAGAGGACCGTGTAGACTGATGTTATGCTGCTGAACTTTCTGGTAAAACTCTACCAAATTGGTTCGTGTCAGTACGATAGCCGCTTGTTCGCTAATTAGGGTGTCGACGTGAGCCTCCATCAGAGCCTTAAGCATTTCCAGTTTATTGTCTGTGAACTCGAATAGAGTGAGAGTTGTGTGCATTAGATGGAGATTATTCAACATATATGTGGCCATATCAGTACTCTTCAAATTACTTGCCGATACGGAACACATTTTTACAAGCGGTTCGATAACGGCTTTTACGATCTGTAAATGTGAGCGAAAAGAAAAATCAATTAAATCCACATAAAACAAACTTTTGCAAACTCGCCTTGCCGTAATCTTCTCTTCTCACGTCTACGGATACGAGAGATGAATCGTGCGACGATAAAATGTCCTGTAACAATTGTAAAGTGCTAGTTACCGATGATGTAGCACTCAAATCTACTGGTGGCATTTCAACTTTCTCCAAAAGTCTAGAAGTTATAGAATTTAAGCTATTATAAAACATTTGCGTATTTAAATTATGCATTTCTGTCATAGATTGTACTAAAGCTGCATTTTCTGGCAATATTCCTTTAAGTGTACCGTAATAGAATTGCAAGAGATTTGTCAGTTTATATAAGACTATAGGCTGTGGATCCGACAACAAGACTTGTTCTAGTCGCACTTTTAACGGTCGGCCTAACCCTTCTGTTACATGGCTCATTACATTTAAGGCCAAAGAGTCCTTATCTTCGCTAACACAATCTTTTAAAATGGTTTTTAAGTATTCTTTTTCAGTTGCACAAGCCTGGTGAATCCAAGCCATCATATCACCGACGTAGCGTAACGGATCGTGAGAATGTAACTCGATTGGCCGCGGGGTTCCACTGGACCCTCCTTTGGTTAATGCGTCAATAAAAGTTCTGACAATCGCGCTTCTGCGAGCCGTTCCATATTCGTCTAACGAATATCGAAAAAGTACTGGTCTATCCTCCAGTGCTTTCATTGCTTTACATATTTGCGTTGTTATTTCAATATTATCGTTCGTTAAT